CTGCCATGCCAGCAAGCTCTTCAAGAGTCTGCCAAACTAAACCTTGGTAACAATGAAACCCAGTGAACGCCGGTTACTGAGTTCCCCAGAGATGTCTCTGCAGTATCCAGTCCCTCTCACTGAGACACACTCTCAGAAATTAAGTTTGCTGCCTCCAGTGAGACAGTGTACACACCAGTGTGTTAAGTTAGTTGAAGGCACACTTCACTTTAATACACAGCACTGAGATGGTTTAGTTAAAAATCAAGAATGTTTGTTTATTAACAAAGAACAGAGGTTTAAGTGGTATTAAGCGAGAGAAAAAGAAACGTGATTACAAACAAAACAAATCACGCTTTCTAGTGACTAAAATTTAATTTTAGCCAGTTAAAATCTTTGCCTATGCAGTTTTCTTACTCATATCAGGTTACTAGCATCTTTAGCCCTCCAGGCTCAGGGATCTAACTTTCATGGGCTCAAAGTGTGCTGTCCCCGAAGTGATGGATAACTAAAATTTCTTTTTGCTGTCTGTCTCTCAAGAGCCAGGAAGGATTCCTGGCACACAGACTCTGTCCACTAGAGTACTCCCTGAGTTGCTGCTAGTTAGCTTGATTGCTTGGTTTACCTTTTATGTAAATATACTTTCGTTGTCCTCTGCCTGTAATCAAGCCAGTCGGACAGGGTAATCCACTTTCCTTTGTCTAGGGAAGGTTGGTTTATGTTTAGGAGGTAGTGCATATTTTAAGAACATATTTCCAGTACACATGTATGTATGGGTTTTGCACAAGTTCTATATCATGGTGATTTTCTGGATCAGTGTGTCACCAGTTTTTACATAGGATACTTTACATGACATCTTTTAGATACATATTATGACACAGTGTTTTGGGGGTAGTGGGTGTCGAGCCTGACATGAATTACAATATGGTGGGCCCTCTGCCAGTTGGCATTGAGGGCCTCCCAGGGACACAGAAGATGACTGCCATGTGTAGTCCCTAAGTGTACTAGAACTGCTTGTCTCTTGTTTGCTAGAGAAGTCTGCAGTTTGCACACTTAGTAACTTGCCAGAAGGGTAAATTGTGCAGCCATTTGCCCAGCTGCATTATTCACTCTTCTCCATTGAGAAGATTTAAATAGTACTCTGTTAAGCGTGTATAAAGTGGTAGTCTTGAGGAATCTTGTGTGGATATGCTAGGTGGGAAAGGAGAATAAAGGAAAAAGCTAATAAGAAATCTGGATTGCATGCTGTTGCAAACATTCAAGTAATTTGGTCCAGATTTATTTCATGCAGGGTGGGAGGTATAAAAAGTGCCAGTAAATCAAACTCTTTTCTGACTTTTGACTCCTATTATTCTGCTCTGATCTGAATGTGGCTGCATATGCTTGGTCGCTTTGGTCTTTGCCCAAGCAGCCCTCTGTATGCTGCTACTTATTGTTAGGCAAAAAGATTCTTTTCCCCAAGAATCAGGCAAGCACAGACAATACTGAAGGGGATTTATTCACGGTACCAGGAAGACTGACCAGCAGCTTCAAAAATACGGTGCCATAGTGGCCAGTTATATACATTCTCTTATCAATTCATTTGCATTTATTTGTACATCCAGAGACAGACATTGTTACAAGTCAAGAGAACCCTGAACAAAGATAAAAATAAAAACCGTACGTATATATAAAGGCCTCCTATTGCTTCAAGCATCTATGGCTACCTTGTGGGGGAAAGAGGCAGGGTGGGAGGGGGTAGGGATGAGTGCTTACAGATATCCGGTGGGCTGTGAAGGGAGGGTTTGTTCTGTTCTAAGAGCTGAGTTACTGGGCGGGTATTGACCATATAAGCTTATCAATTGTTTACAGTTGTCTCTGTCCTTGCTACTGAAGCATTCCTGCTTGTTCTGCAGGTTTTGTCTTAGCTGTTAGCTAAATTTTAATTCTTGCCTGACATTGTCAACTCTAAATATCCAAAAATCATGAGTCAAGTCCTTAAAAATCATTAAATTGTCTTAAATCATGAGGCTTTATATTGGGAGTGGTGGAGAAGGGCATTATTTGCCTTCTGGTTTCCAAGCCTTTAGGGTACCTTGTTCATGTTTTCAGGCTATTCTCTGCAACCAGGAGGGCTAAGAACTTAGTTTGATTTAAAAATTAGTACTGAGATTCTCATATAATCAGTTGCTCCAAGGAGATTAGGCTTAAAAGAACCACCAAATATTGAGACCTGAAATAAAATTGCGAGAGCTGGCAACACTATGCCTGATAGGCTTGAAGAAACAACTGCCCTATTCCACCCTTTCCTTGTGGCAGACTGAAAATGGTGGCTTTCCAAAAGAAGCTGTCTGGTATCTTTAATGTGGTGATAGCACTTGCCATACCAGCACTTCATTTCTGAGTTGCAATGGAAAGGATTTAACATGTCTATGTGCACTTATGGTTATTTGCATGAATTAATGTACCTGAACATGTGATTCAAATATGTATCTTCAGCTATTTGAATGAACGTGCTGAAAATGCTTCCCATTTGATTCTTTGTTCAGGAATCTAATCACTACATATTCTTCCATTTTTTGAGACATATAGTTACTCTTTTATCTACTTCCTTTATGCCTACATAAGGATAAAGAGTTTGATCTAATAAGGTAAGCAACATATTCTGTCATTTGGAAAGGTGAATCTTAATTGTTGAAAACAGGAGAAGAGAACTCTGATACTTTGTATTGTACTTCATCACTGCATTGAATCTGTAAGCAAATGTAAAACATTAAGTACCTGTTTTATTAATCTGTTTTATTTTAAAATTACATATTTTGACATTTGAATTAAATTAAATAGACTTAGTATCTTATGTTTTTCAAATTCAGTGTCTTTGAAAAGTCTGAGTGGTGTATATATATATTTTTTTTAATGGTCTCCTTTTTTAACTGCAGTAGTATATAGGTAAGTATCAGAGGGGTAGCCGTGTTAGTCTGAATCTGTAAAAAGCAACAGAGGGTCCTGTGGCACCTTTGAGACTAACAGAAGTATTGGGAGCATAAGCTTTCGTGGGTAAGAACCTCACTTCTTACCCACCCATATGCACTTGCATCTGAAGAAGTGAGGTTCTTACCCACGAAAGCTTATGCTCCCAATACTTCTGTTAGTCTCAAAGGTGCCACAGGACCCTCTGTTGCAGTATATAGGTAAATCTACCTCATGTTAAATCATTTGAAATCCTAGCTGTGATCAAATGATAGTTTTCTTCAGTGACTTTATTCTTTGGTAAGCATTACGTACACTACAAATGTGGTTTAAATCTATCTCAATAACAGTTTTTTAATGGCTTGAGCACTTTCTATAATTGTTTCATTAATATAGTCTTCTTTTTGGCAAAAAAAAAAAAAATTTTTAATTAGTGTTAGAATTTGGTTTAGCTTTTTGCCTAAAAAAATTTCAAGCACTCACACTAACCTGACTATGCAAAAATTAACAGGTAGGTTTTTAAAATACATCCTTAAAGAAAATAAGCTCAAACAATAGTGGTATGAGGAGAAACAATATTCTGTCTCACCTGTCCTTGGATCTAAATCTGTGTAAAGTAAACACACTGTATTTTAAGGTAATAAAGATTCAAAAAAATGTGCAACTAAATTTGCAGATTTACAATCTGCTGAACATTGTTCTTGAAGAATCTAGCCAGGAAATGGGTCATCCACATACCGAATGTGAAATCAGTCAAGTCAAATCACTATAAAAGTATTATCATAATGATGTTGGTTTGAAAGTATGTAGAAAACTGAAAGCGAGGACATAAAATGAGAGGCAAAGTTTGAAGGTATGATTTAGCATATCCTAAATCAACTCCTTTATAGTCACCTTGGATAAATTGGACCTAGGATTTAGTCTGTAGACTATTTGACCATGGTGCAGTTGAGTATAAATCTAAACTCACTCACTTTGCCCAAGGCAAATTATCCTATATTGTGCTTCTTGGTTGCCAAACTTGAAGCACTAATGGAAATGGGGATTACTGCTTGCAATGTGGCACTCCCTGATCATTCAATGTGTAGAACTCTCCAACCATAATGAACAAAATCAAGAAGAGCCAGACTTGCTATTCCGCAACATGTGGTGCTTTGAAGTCATTCTTCCTGTCACTAGAGTGAATTTGAGGTTCATCCCTAACTGGTCTCTTGATGCATTTTATTTGCAAAGTCTGTAACCAAGACCACTTAAATTACATATTGCATACAGTAATGTGTTAAAAACAATTCCCTTGTTTTAAAGGGATGTTTATAGGAAGATATGCAATTGAGTAAGAAATCTGGTATACAGGAAACACCTGAAGTTACACAGGTTAATTTCATTTGTTTTAATTTTGGGAGTGGCTTCTCAGCAAACAAACTGGACTGTGTCAAATTTTTGTTATACCTCTTCACTTAAATATCTTCTCAATTTTCTGTTTGGCACACATTCCATTTTGCTATTCTGTTTCTGTAGCAGCAAAATGTGACTGCTTTGTTTGTTTGATAACAAAAATGGTAGCTTTGTCAAAAAGGGATGTACAAAGCTGTATGTTTAGAATGTTCACTAACAAATTTGTAACTGATCTTCATTCTTTCTCTTCCATATAGCATAAAGGAGCAAATTAGTTGACAGCTGCTAAACACATGTTGCTCACTAGAGTGAATTTGTGCAGAAAATGGTCTCACTAGTTTGGCATGACATGATTTAGTTGTAACTGTCTGGTGATGGGTAGGTCTGCTTATCTGTGGGGGCAACATTTTATTATGGAATGCCATGGTATGCATATAATTTTAAGGTGGACTAAAATAACCTGTCTAATCAAATTGCTAATGCCATCTTTAAATTGGAACATATTAAACGTGAGATTTCTTAGGCAAGCAAGGTAAAATGTAAATACTTGTTGCAGGTTGAATAATCAAGACGATTGTACTTATTATTAAAGCTCATTAAATGCAAAAGAAGTATATGAGTTTTAGGTACTGTCCAAAACATATTATTCTAATTTTCATCTTTCTTTTCCCCCCAAGGTCCTTGATTCCTCAACGCTTAGTTTCGGTACTCGAGTGAAATGGTTTGCCATATGTTTTGCAACTGGTATTTTCTGTTCTATTCTTGTAAGTGAATTTTTGTTCTGACGTTTTATGAAGATGCTATGGTGGAATCTTGCTAACCTTCATTCTCTGGGCCTGATCCAGTGGGGTGCTGGGCACCCTCTCCCTATTGTTACAATTGGAATAAAGGGCGATCAATACCTTGCTGGGTCTGATGCTTCATAATCCACACTACTGGCAGTATTCCCCTATTGACAGTAAATGGTCTAGTGACATATCATATTAAAAGGATTAAGTATTGACACAATTAACTAGTACATTATGTAGTATTTTAAATTAAAACAAACATACAGTAACCAAAAAGGTTGAGCGTGGTGGGTGGGTGTGTATATGTATGTATGTATTAAAAAAAAAAAAAAAAAAAAAACAACAGCACACGAAAAGATGGGAGTTGCCTTACCAAGTGGGGGGTCAGTGCTAACGAGGCCAATTCAGTTAAGGTGGAAGTGGCCTATTATCAACAAAAGGAACAGGAGTACTTGTGGCACCTTAGAGACTAACAAATTTATTTGAGCATAAGCTTTCATGGGCTACATCCGAAGAAGTGGGCTGTAGCCCACGAAAGTTTATTCTCTAATAAATTTGTTAGTCTCTATGGTGCCACAAGTACTCCTGTTCTATTTGCGGATACAGACTAACATGGCTGCTACTCTGAAACCTATTATCAACAGTTGACAAGAAGGGGTGAATATCAGAGAGAAAATTACTTTTGTAGTGCTAACGAGGCCAATGCAATCAAGGTGGAAGTCACCCCTTCCCAACAGTTCATAAGAAGGTGTGAGTATCAGCAGAGGAAAAATTAAGTTTTTGTAGTGACCCATCCACTCCCAGTCTTTATTCAGGCCTAATTTGATGGTGTCCAGTTTGCAAATTAATTCCAGTTCTGCAGCTTCTCATTGGAGTCTGTTTTTGAAGTTTTCGTTGTTGAAGAATTGCCACTTTTAATTACCACATTCCACACAAAGATGGACTACAAGCCATCAGGAACAGTATCCCTGATAATGTCACAGCAAACCTGGTAACTGAACTTCGTAACTTTGTCCTCATCCACAACTATTTCAGATTTGGGGACAATGTATACCTTCAAAGGGTGTGATGTGCAGGAGGGGGCTCAGGGCAGGGGGTTGGGGTGCGGAGAGGGGGTGCAGGGTGCGGCAGGGGGCTCCAGGCAGGCGGTTGGGGTGCAGGAGAGATTCAGGGTGTGGGCTCTGGGGTGGCAGCAGCACGCAGTAGGGCTAAGGCCGGCTCCCCACCGCTCTTGGAGGCGGATGGCACCATCTCCCTGCAGCCTCTGGGGAAAGATGGGGCAGAGGGCTCCGCACGCTGCCCTCGCCTGCTCCCCTGTGGGTACCTCCCCCAAAGCTCCCATTGGCTGCAGTTCCCCATTCCCGGCCAATGGGAGCTGTGGGGGGCAGTACCCCCTGCCCCACTTTTCCCCCAGGGATGTGGTGCCAGGTGTTTCCAGGAGTGGCGTGGGGCCCACAGCACCACCGGGGTGGCAGTCCCACAGGCCGGATCCAAAGCCCTGACAGGCTGGATGCGGCCTGTAATTTGCCCACCCCTGCTCTAAGGTGCCACAAGGAATCCTCATTGTTTTTGCTGATAGAGACTAATATGTCTACCACTCTGAAATTCTTTTCAGAAGAGATTGCTAGTTCTGCTTGCCTAACTTGAGACACCTTCGTCTTGACTTTCAGTGGTGCGGAGCATCTGACTCCTGTTGACTTCACGTAACATTGTTGCTCAGCATTTCTGAAATTAAGTCAAAGATGTCTCAAGTTGGGCACCCAAAATCAGTGGTCATTTTTGAAAAATCAGCTGCATGTGTTGCAGAGACCTCCAAACTGTACCAAACAGCCACATTTAGAACTGTAATTTTTGAGAGTATTTACGCCTTTATTTAAACCATCCATTAATGTGTAAATCTCTCCACTCATTATGTGTAGAGTAGTAAAGTTCTTGTGAGTGTTGCTGTATAGTTGTGACATCACCCAAAAAGCACAACTAATCAGTTGAAATGTAGCTTGGAACAACTGTTTGCAAAGCGGTATGGTTTAAGTTACTACTTTTTGATGGAGCGTAGATCCAGTATTAATATAACATGACTTCCAACCACAAAGGATAGAAATGCTTTACAGGCAAAGGACTTATTAAATGTCTTCTATACAGTGAAAATCAAGTAAATAAGCCTCATTCTCTCTATCAGAGTCTTAATAAAGTATGAAACACACAGCTAACTTAGCAGAAGTGACATTCTTTCATATTAAGAAATGAAGCAGGCATAGTTTATTCCCCTCTACAGCATGTGACAATGGGAATAAAACCTTCCTTGTCAGATGCTTTAGACTGGCCATGTGATATCTTTCTCCCAAGAGTGAATGCTTATACCGTGGGCTCTATTTTATTGACCATAACATAAAATGATAACTTATTTATCTCCTATTTAATTTGACCCTTTTTCACATTAAAGGCACATTTAAGCACATGGCTGAACAGCTTTCACTGTCACTTGAAAATATATATTTTCTGTGGTGTTAAGTGGAGACATATCATCTCTGTCCCATTGATTGACATCTATTCCTGGGAAAATGCAAGTGATGCTGGCTTATGAGTTCTTGCGCTGTTTCTATATGATTTTTGAATGATGCAGGGCAACCTGTGGTCTTTAGGAAGTGGAAATAGCTGTGAGCTGAAATATTTCAAAAACTTCTATCCGGGAAATAACGCTTAGAACAGTTGGCTGAACGTAACCAGTAATTCTCCATGTCCCTGTGACTGAGCTGTTTTTGAGAGGGGTAGTGGAGGGGCATCTCCTATTTCAAGTCAAACCCTGTGGGGAAGGCATCTTGTAGAGTACTTGAAGCAGATGCGATGCAAGACTAAGTAGTAGTGAAGTCATTTACTTTTTTAAATGTTACTTGCTAGTAGTAATAGCTCTTGCCCTGTCTTTCATGGAAGGCAAGCAAGAATGGGACACTGAGAGAACTAGTAGAGGAATGCAAAGAGAACCAAATCAGAGAGGTGGCAATATGTTACTGTAGTGATCAGTCCTGCATTGGATCTGACAGTGTACAAAATAATCATTCAATCTGAGAATTATCTGGTACGCTGACACTAGGCTCAAATTCACTTGGACTACTGCTAAAAAGTAGGGCTGTCGAGCAATTTAAAAAAAATTAATAGTGATTGTTTGCATGATTAAAAAAATTAATCATGCAATTGATTGCAGTTTAATCACACTGTTAATACTAGAATACCATTTATTTAAATATTTTGGGGGGTTCTAAATTTTCAAATATAGGGTCAGGGCTGGGGGCTCTGGGATTCAGCCTGGCACAAGGCTTCAGGTTGGCATGGGCTGCTTCAGCCCCAGGTGCCTTGGAAGCCATGGGCTAGTGTTTCAGCCCCCTACTACTGATGTCTCCTGCCCCACCCTCAGGTATGCAAACGATACATTACTTTTTTAAAACACGTTAATTTTGCTTTCAGTTAGTCTCAGGCATTAACTGTGATTAATTGACAGCCCTAATAAAATTTTTGAGATTCCATTGGGTGGTTTTGCCTCTACAGGTCTGAAGCTGGTTGTACAAAGCAATTTGATGTGCTTTGAAGGTTCGTGTAGGTAGGGTGACCAGACAGCAAATGTGAAAAATCGGGACAGTGGTTAGGGGGGTAATAGGAGCCTATATAAGAGGACTGTCCCTATTAAATTGGGACATCTGGTCACCCTACATGTAGGTTCCCCACAATTCCATTGTCCCCTTTCCTCTGTTCCGTATTTCCATCCCCAACTGCTGTTAGCAGATTTCTCCAAGAGCCTTAGGGCTGGTCTACACTATGGGGGGGCGGGATCGATCTAAGATACGCAACTTCAGCTACGCAAATAGCGTAGCTGAAGTCGAAGTATCTTAGATCGAATTACCTGGGGTCCACACGGCGCGGGATCGACGGCCGCGGCTCCCCCGTCAACTGCGCTACTGCCGCTTGCTCTGGTGCAGTTCCGGAGTCAACGGTGAGTGCGTTTGGGGGATTGATATATCGCGTCTTAACGAGACGCGATATATCGATCCCGGATAAATCGATTGCTACCCGCCAATACGGCGGGTAGTGAAGACGTACCCAGAGATTGGACACTAGATGGGCAGGGCTCTGAGTTACTACAGAGAATTCTTTCCCAGGTGTCTGGCTGGTGGATCTACTTGATTACTGTATTTGGGGTAAGGAGGGAATTTTCTCCCATGTCAGACTGGCAGACCCTGCAAGTTTTTCACATTTCTCTGCAGTGTGGGGCACAGGTCACTTGCTGGTTTGAGCTAGTGTAAATGGTGTACACTCTGTAACTTAGTCTTTAACTCAAGGTTTGAGGACTTCAGTAACTCAGCCAGAGGTTATGGGCCTACTGCAGGAGTGGGTTGGTGAGGTTCTGTGGCCTGCAATGTACTGGAGGTCAGATGAGATTACCATGACTGTGCCTTCTGGCCTTAAAGTCTGTGAGGCTGTTGGGGAAGATAGTGAATGAAGTAGGTGGACTGCAGTGTCTCTATATATGGATGATGCCTAGCTTTACATTGCTCTTTTTGCAGGTCTGATTGATGCAGGCAAATGACTTGTGCAGGGTCTAACTTTCATTAGGGTTTGGCTAAGAGCTAGCTGGCTGAGGTTTAACCCAGATAAGAGTGAGATGAGCCTGGAGAAAGCATCTGGAATAATTGGCAGAGACTGTTTGTCATAGTCACATCCTGGTAGTCTTATAGTAATTCCTGGCCACTTCTGGATGATCAAGTAGCAGAGGCCATGTGTGCTTTTTTTTTTTTTTTAATCTGGGCGTGGCACAGTTTTATCTGAACCTAGCCACAGTCATCCACTCCTCTCTCATTTAGAGAGCGGCACTTGGGTCTTCATTGTAAGATGACTCAAACTGTATTTGATGCAAAATGTTACTTTGCTTGCTTAAATGGTACTTTTTACATGGAACACTACACTTGTGCTCTGGTCTATGTTGTCCTCCTTTTGGTTTGTGTGATTTAAGGTGTTGGTTTTTGTCTGAAAGCGCTAAGTGGGTTGGCTTCTGGTTACCTTTAGAATCTGCCTCTCTTCCATGTTAGTCATGGCAGTTCTGATCAGCAGAGGGGTTTGAATGATCAACCCCCTGGTTTAAACCTGGAGGCTGATAGTGGAGGTGCTTGATTCAAACTTCTCCTTCCCTGTCCCTGCACATGCTTGGTCTGCCAGCCGAGGTTTGACGACTCAGACTTCTTTTTAGAACTGTTATGATTGGCGTGTGAGAAGTGATGGAGGACTTTCTTTTATAGTGGGGTTGGAGGGATTGTGGATATTAGTCCAGTATAACTTCATGAATATCTTCCTTTCACATAATGTACAGGAGCTTCTAACTTGGACTTATGGATTTTAAAGAAACAAAGTCTGTCTGCTGTACAGTAACCTAAAAAGAAAACATCTATACAATTACTACTAGAAGAACCGGTGAAATAGGCCTCTTATACAAATGTTGGCTCTAGTAATACTGATAGGATTTATTTTCACACCTCTGCAATAACATTAGGGAGACTCCATTAAATACATTAAATCATTACATCTCACTTGCCAGTAGAGGGAGGTATTAATCTGCTGGATGGTTAGTGCAGTCTCTGAAAACAGTGTATGACCAGTGTAGGTCATGGTGACTTCCTTGTGACTTTACATTTTATTTTCAGACACACTAAACTGGATGGACTAGCAATTGAAAGTACGAAAATATTTTTTTCTTGTGCAGGGGACAGCATTTCTGTGGCTTCCCTCGGGGCTGAAACTTTTTGCAGTGTTCTACACCATAGGAAATATTGCTGCATTAGCCAGGTATGCATTATTTTCCTAGTTATTAGTAATAAGTTCTACCATTTTGGAATCTGAATTTCTAACTGCAAATTTGTGTGTAACATTAATATTCAAATGTGAAGAACAATGCTTTATAATTTCAGGTCCTATGTATCTTGCACTTTACATTTTCATGTTACTAATACACTAGTTACAATGGGAATATACCAGTTACTTATTTCCCTCCCTCTTCTACACAATTATATTATGTTTTTTATGATCACTTCATAAATACATCCTGATTTCTATTTACTTTGGCTGGCAGGTTGTAGACTATAGGTTTTAGACTTCTGTATGTTTCTAAATCCATCTGCCATCTCCTCACACCCCAATTTCACTAATCACTAATGTAGGCATCTCAATATGGGCATCTTATGATAGGAAACATCTTGCTTTCAACCAGAGCTCCTTTAATTTTTTTTTTATAAATGGAAAACCAGTCTGGGAGACCCTAAAATTAATCCCTGAAAATTCTTGGCTTAGAATAAGACCAAGCATGGTCTTTTAAAAATTGTTTAACTTTAAAATTTAAAACTCTGCTGTATTTTTATCTATTCCCACCACTCCTTCTTGCAGGCAGATGCCTTGCCATGCTGCTGAGACTGTGGCTTTTGAGGCTGTGCTCTCAGGAAAAACAATAGCAAACTTAACTTTCTGTTGCTGCTGCTAAACTACAAAAGAGGCCTTGTAAGATTGTGCTGATTTCATTCTCCTGTATGTTTCACCAGAGTGAAGTGCCACACTCTATGAACATGAAGTATGAGTCCATAAAGTTCTTTCTCAGTCCTGGTCCTCCCTCCCCACTTTCACTAGAGTGTTTTGTGTAAAGGATTAGCTCCGGGCTTTTGAACTTTCTACTTTTACAAACCCTGTGCATAGCGCCAAAAAACTCTGTCAACATTTTCTTATTTTGATCTACATAACATCTTGGGTCCTGTTTGGAGCTCTTTGCCAGAAAGGATCATAGTTGGGCTGCTTGATGAGAACACTACCCCTTTGCCTCCTGTGTCATTTGTCTGAATTTCAGTGTCCTCAGCTGCATCATCCCCTGAAGTGTAGCTGTCTTGAAAGATAAGGCCATTTGAAATAGTAGCCAGGTTGCAAGCTTGTGGGTTTTGCAGAGTAGGATTTTTAATTTGGCTCCCCATTTGCTTCAGGTGTAGTGTTTGTGAAGCATGATGATGGGTTTGCCTTTGACTTCTGAGGTTCACTACTGTGTGCTGCCACCATCTTCAACCCTCTTCTGTCAGTTGTCATCCTCGGGTAGAGCTGCAGTAGTGTAACCTGAGAGAGACACAAGCATATTGCAGTGCTATCTGATAGGAAAGGGTCCAAATGGTTGTGGAAGGTGGAAAGAATGCATTGCTCCCTGTTATGGCAATTTGTGTCCAGACATAGGGATGAGT